CATAACAGATTAAAGGCTAAGTTTGAATGGGCGGTAGCTAAATCGCAATATCATGTATTGCTAACGGTTACACATGTTCCTGCTACGTATTTGATTAAGTAAATTGCTAGGCCATTTTGTTTTAACGTTAATGCTACGTAGCAGAAATTAATTGTAATCTGGTAACCAAATTTTATGACAAAATCATTAAATTGATTTGCTTGTGTTAATTGATACGTACTGGATTTCTCCTCTCCCAATTAACATGAAAGTAGCATTGATTAAATACGTACGTAACAGATCAAAGTATTAATGTTAGTAAGAATAGTAATAATAATTTTCATACGTACGTACAAAGTTTCAGTTGATTATCTGTTGTTTTACTATACCCAATCAAAATCGATACAAATCACATTTTGCAGATAATACGTACGTATGTATATATATAAGATATATTTTATTATAGATCATTGCAATTGTTACACGAAAATTATCTATAAAATTAGGTCGAATTCAAGATTGTAAAATGGGTGAAACAGACATGTTATCAGCGCAGTTTACCTCTGCATATACATATCTTAACAAACATTCAAATATTAAGCTATCCGATGAAATCAAATTAAAGGTAATATTGTTTCTATTTTCTCTTTTTGTATGTAAATTTAATTAAACATTCAACTTTTGTTATTCTTAAAAGCTTTATGGTACTTATAAAGCTGCAACGATTGGCACTTGTAATACTCCAAAACCTTCTTTACTAGATTTTAGAGGTAGAGCCAAGTGGGATTCTTGGAATGAATTAGGTGAAATTTCAAAAGAGGAGGCAAAGCAACGTTATATCGATATTTTGGAACAAGCGAATGTTGGATGGAGTAAAGATCGTCTGGACAATGAAGAAAGTTCATCGGATGATGATGATGATGATGATTATGATGATTATGATGATGATGATGATGGAAATGATAAAATAGACAATGTAGCATTTTTCTGTTTTCAAATGGTTTATTAATTGTTAGATTTTGGAATCATAGTTGTTCTTACTAGGATGTGGCGAGTAGGAAGCGAAGGCTATTCCACAAGATAGATGGACATATGTTTCCACTTTGTCATATGAAGAAGAGGCAGTGACAAAGTTAGTATTATATACTGCAATTGAATTTGTCCGAGCAATACTTTTTTTCGCCACATATCAAACATTATTATCAGTGAAGCTCTTATTTCTTACTAAGTAAATCGACCTTACGACTATTGAAGTCGTTTCGTCAACTTATATATTCTGAAATTCTTGCTAAATTTGGGTTTGATGCAAAAAAAAAGGCATTCCTTTAGCAAGAATACAGGAAATGTCGATTTACTTAGTAAGTTGGCAAATTGTGACATTCAGATCATAATAAAAATTTAAGCTACAAAAATTGTTTAGAGCTATGCTCAATACATTCTTTCTTGTTTTCGTATCAGTTGAATCTTGATAATGCAGTAGAAGATAGTAACGATAAGCACATGGGTCCTTGGACGACATTCATAAGGGACAGTAAAAAAATTAAGAACACGCCGTTGACACCCTATGTTGACAAGGAACTCCTTTATAACAACCCTCTGTCCGTCGATGGAACAAAGATTACCGTAGAGACTGGTTTCCAATATGAAGTTCCAGAACTTACAGACGAGAAACTCGTGGAGATGATTGAAGATTTTAAAGTTATAGGATGGTGGCCGAAAGAGCAAGAAGATGTTTAATTTAGTTGTTTCTGTTTCTTAGGAAATTTTTTAAACTTTTAAAAGAATTAAGAGCCTTGGCTTTTTTAATGTACTGGATACTAATGTTTTTACATATAATAATTACATTATTAATTGTTTGTAATTTCCTTGATTTTGGTAATTTG